TCAAAGAACAAAAAATTCACAAGACAGTAAGTACAGTATGTTTTGCATTTGACAATAAAGCATTATGTAAGGAATCTAAATAAGGAAGCAGTAGATTTTGGAAGCAAGCTGGTTCCTTTTATGAATCACCTAAAGTGTAGCAAAATAATAGCAGTGATAAATAGTCATATGGCATAGCATCAATGTAGCATGTCACTAAAATTAAAGGCATGCATCATTTTCTGAATAAAAGCACACATTCTGGAAAAGCTAAAAGAAAAATTTAGCTAACATTTTAGCAAAGGTTGTAAATGTGCTATCTGTATTCAGTGTATATCTCTATTCACAAGAGCAATTACCATAAGTTTCTTTAATATAATCTTCTACTTAATGTAACACCCACCTGATGTTAATACCCACCTTGTTGCTCATAATATACTAATTACAGATGACAGTCATTTAACACATTGAACAGTCTTGTTGACACAAGTATGTGGTAGAATTTGAAATATTTCCTTCAAAACCTTGTGTGCAGTGTGTTTATGGATCTCTCCCCCCTAACAGTCCTTTGAAATCATTACTATTATCCAATTTCATAGGTGAAACTGAAATACAGAAAATCAAAAAAAGTTGTATGGTTACTGGTTGATGGGACTTGGATTTGAACCCCCAGTATTCTGGCTCCAGAATCTATGCTTTTAGCCCCTACAATAAACCTGTTAAAAATAATTATAATTAAAAACAATAATATAAACATAATAAAAATAATTAATTTTTTATCATTAATAAAAATAATTAATTAAAACATAATTAAAAACAATAATATAAAAATAATTAAAACAATTAATATAAATGTTTTCATATGAATAATAGTGACAGAATGCCAATAATTTTTTAAGTGTTCATGATATTTTTCTTTTTAGCGTTTGAAAATTTTTGGTAAAATTTTGTGAAAATATTTGTAAAGTCTCTAAATAGAAGCACATATTGATCTTTTAGTCCATATTTTTATAGAACTCGAATACTGCTTACTTTCAGGTGATACTTCTTGCTACAGATACTTCTTGCTTTCTAAGGAAGATTATATTTTCTGAAATGTTAAGTGATCTTAAACTATCTCAAAGTTTGTATAAATGTCCAGTGAAATGAAATGCATTTGTCCTTTGAATGCATTTGTCCAAATGAAATCCATTTGTCCTACATTTATGTTTTCTAAAATTCTTTCAAAACGCTAAGATGGGCATTATCTAGGTTAGATGACTCACTTTACATAGCTTCTTTGCACTATAGGAAAAATTTTAAATGTTTAAAAATAAATTGGGAAAGCTGTCATACAGACAGGTTTGGTTCCTTGACAGTTTCCAGTTTAATTTAACAAATTCAGTGGTGGACACTTTTGTGAGGTGACTCTACTGGAGCCTGTTAGGATATTAGTACCATCAAATCAGCTGTAGAACAAGAAGAAAACTGGGGCCAAATGGTGACCTCCCTGGACCATAAAGCAGGAGCTGAAATCAAACAACAGCATTATAAGAGCTGATTCGACCAAATGCAGCTAGAAAGCCTGAGGCCCAATATCAATATGATTGAGCTTAGGCATGATTTGGGAACCCATCAATTCTGAGAGGGCCAACCTTGTTAATGGAGCATAGTGACAGAGCAAAGATAATATCCCTAAGCAATTATTGGCCTGTGACTCCAGTGCAATATATACTCAGAAGGCAATAAAAGAACACACACAAAGCTGACCATAGTATCAGTGACCAATTAAACTTTCTGTTGTTGAGGACCAGAATATAGACTAAAATGCCTTGTAGGATGATTAATTAGGGATGAGAAGGGGATTAAGCAGACAAGGCCACATAAACGGGAAAGAAGGGTAGAGGAGAACACCTGTCTTGTTCAGGTGTCTATTCATTCTGACCACCCAAAATGCCATATTTTGACCACCCAATCTGCAACTCACCACATTATCATCTTACTGAATTCTAATCATCCATAATATTAAACTAAGAAAAACAGAATGGTAGACTCAAAAGAGGTCTTCCATAAATAATAACATCTAAAGTAACAGAACATATTTAGACTATGAATAAGGGTCATAGGATCATGCTTCTACTGAGGCTTGGTTAGAAAATTAACTCTCTGCTTAGGAAAAAATCTTTGCTGAAATTTTTGGTGCTTAATTTGTTATTATAATGAAATATATATATATAATATATATTTGAATTAGGTTAGACTCAATAGAAATACTATGCAAGTTTTATGAATATAATATGCCATATTTTTTCCCCTGAAAATGAATTCTAGGGTATTGATTCACTCTTGGTGGTGAAATCTTGCTGGAGACTATAGAGAAAAGGTCAGGTTTCTGTCAAATTTCTTTCATTATGTTGTATGAGAAAGTAAAAGACAGGTTAATTTGAAATTGCAATTACATCTTGGCACCAAATATATCTGGATTAAATATAACAAGGTTTATTTTTTTTTTAGTAACAATTTTAAATAAGTGAAATTAGCTTAAGTGTTTTTATGGCTGTCATTTTCAGTAAATATCCAACATAATCTTGGATATCTAAAATTAAAATGTAATACTTTTTAAATAATTGTGATTTTTAAATAACTGACTTTAATGGCAAATTAGAAATTCAGCAAGAATATTTTCTTTCTATTTTTATCATGTAGATTAATATCATGAAACATATTTTTTAGTAGACAGAAAATTATGTTTATAATGGAAAAAATATTCTCATTGATTACTCAGTAGAACTCTACATTTCATTTAATACATAATTTGCCATTAAATAAATTTTTAATGATGTTAAGGATTAGGCCATTTTCCCTATACTAATGATAGATGTATAGGAAGAGGAGAAAAACATGTGTGAGTTTTATTATGTGCTGATGCCTTATACACATTGTCTCAGTTATCAGAACAGAAATTGAAGCTCAGAGAAGTTAAATAATTTACCCAAATCACAAGGGTAGTAAGCAGATTTCTAGAAAAGATTTATACTTAGGCCTGTCAGACTCCACATGTAAGCTTTTGGTCCCATGCCCTTCAGAGACATTTTCTCGCAGGTTGCTAGCCTGAGGCACCTGGGCTACACATGTGCTGGCCTTGCTGAGGCTAGAGTGTGAGTCTGATCCTGCCAGAGAAGTTCCAACAAGGCTGCCACCAGCACAGCTTCTGAAGCTAGAAAGGACATGTGAAATCCCTGTAGCCAACAGCAGAATTACTTGGTCTGCACAGTGGTGTCCTACTTGGTAAAGCAGCTTACTAATTGGAGAACCAAGACTGTCTACCTCCACACTCAACCCGCCACTGAGGATGGAAGCCACATCTTTCTGTCTGTGACAGCAGGACTTTGCCAGTTCACTGTCCTCACTGGCGACACTTTACTTTTCAGGGATCCTCCTGCCCAGATGGTTCGTTCATTATAGGAACTTCTCAAAGACTCATATGCTCCTCTGTGGCAAATATCAATAGATATCAAAGCATCAAAGGTCAGTTTCCTGCAAAATTACTTTCATTACAATATCCCCAAAGGAAAAAAAAAATTAATTTGAAATTGCAATTTGAGTTTAAGCCCTAAGATCTTTGAATGCCTCCTCCAATTCTGAATGATTGCATGTTGATTCTTACCTAACCCGAATCAAGGCCCTGCTTTGAGAGACCTGTCTTAAATCAAATTTCCAATTCTCTATAATTTCTGATCTGTGTCTCCTCTTATACACTGCCAGTGCTGTGCTCTTTCTTCTGCAGTAAGCAATAAACTCAGCTTTGCCTTTTCAATAAGTTGGTGGTAATATTTGGGGAACCAATTTTTGACAATTTCAGACAGGTGCCATCTGAGAAGAGTCCTTTTTATTCTAACCTGCTGCTCAAAGACCCAAGTAGAGTTGCTCGTCTCAAATGCAGAGCCGACATCTGGAAGACGCTTTTTTACATTGTCATAGCAAGCGGTTTCCTGGGCTTTATGGGGAGGTATTTGGGCAGAAAGATCCATTAAGCAAAAGAGAAATCTATGTTAAGTAGGCACAGGTTAGAGGTAGTATAATTTTGGTGCCCATGTTGAAGACCATGCATGTGAAATCAGAGGCTGCTGAACCAGACATTGGAATTTGTATTAGGCAACATTTAGCTTGTCTAACTATAGCTGCATAAAATGAATTGTCAAATCCCCCCCACACACACACACATGTCTGATTCTTATATTCTTGCTCTTGTCTATCACATGTATTGAAATCTCTGCAATACAACATCCAGGCCCTTCCTCTTTCTTTCCTAGCTAAAGAACATTTCCTAAATTATTTTCCACAGAGCACATATATTCTAGATGAAGTTAAGAGGCATTCAGAAAAATAATTCCTCTTTCTTAAATTCAAATTACAAATTACAACATTAAAGAATCTGAGTCAACCTGAATTACAACAAAAATGCACATTCATGAATTTTGTTGTATTTGGGTGTCCTAGCACCCAAATTAATTTGGTGTCCTAGTACCCAAATTTGGGTGTCCTTTTGTAAAAAATGTTTTTCCTACTGACACCTTGCTGATCCCTTGTGTCTCAAGTGAAGCAGTTTGGGCAATGCTTGCCTGGTCTCTGAGTACAACATTGACACCCCTGTCTCTTGTCTTTCTTTCTAGGTTATAATCTGATTATAGTCTCCTAAACTGAAATACCTTTTCAAACCTCTGCCAAAAACAAAATAAAACAAACAAACAAAAAACCCAAAGCAAAAACAAACAAAGAAGCAACTGCAAGCTTCTCTTCCTGTTATGTTCAAACTGCCATTTTGTCTTTAGCATTCTTAGATTTTTTTTTTTCTTGTATCCATTTCTTGGCAAATTCCTGTTGGTAGCTTAATGGGGCTACTCCCTGAATACTGAATATTATTTCTTTGTTGATTCTTTTATGGTCACGAGTTTACATCTAAATTTTACCCCAAAGATCTGAAATGGTTAACAACAGTATAATAACTGAAGGCTATTTTGTACCCAAATCCAAAAGTTTACCTCCTGTTCTGTTTACTATCATCAGTTATGTCCAAACACATTGCCCAATATAGATAGTCAGTCGTTCTGCAAAGGAATCAAATGACAACATTAAAAGTCAACACAGACATGCCCCAAATTTGATTGTAAATTTCTTCCCATTATCAAAATATACAAAATGTGTGGAAAAAAATAAACTTAAAATTTATATTTCTTAATGATGTTAAAGATTACAGGCTTTAAAATAAATAAATAAATAAAGTTCAAAAATTAAATTATTTTGCCTTTGTGAGTCCAAGAAAGTAAACATTATCTTATTATTTGAAGTTATAACTAAAGGGGTTCTGGATGCCTACATGGAGTTGGGGGTTCCTTTAGCAATCTGTGCCTTCTCACGATACCTGTGTTAAAAGATTTTTCTATTGTAGCACTGAAGTAGGTATATAGTGGTATGACACCGTAGATTGAGCTGTTGTTTCCACCATGACTAATTATGCTGAGGATCTTTTCATATGCATATTTGCCACTTGGATGTCTTACTAGGTGAGGTGTCCATTCAAATATTTTTTGTCCGTTTTTTAAATTGGATTGTCTTCTTATGGTTGAATTGTAAGAGTGTATTACATATTCTGGATTCAAATCTTTCATCAGAAAAATGTTTAGCTTCTTTGTGGCTTGTATTTTTCTTAATGGTGTCTTTTAAAAATAAGAGATATAAATTTTTATTAAGAAAAGGCAATATATGTAACCAAAATGTTTGTACCCCCATAATATTCTGAAATGTACAAAAATTAAAATAAATAAGAAAAGTTTATCATTTTTATTTCTTTTAGGATATGCTCTTGGTGTAATATTTGAGAAATGTTTTCCTAATCCAAAGTCTTCTCTTTTTTATGAATTTTTATAGTTTTGCACTTAAATTTAGGCTTACAATCCATTGCAAATTATGTTTTGTGTGTGATGTGAAGTAACAGTTTAGGCTTATTCTTTCCTTTCATGCCATGTGTTTCTCCAATTGCTCTAGAATCTTTTTTTTTTTTTTTGAAAGCTCATCCTTTCTTTACTGAATTACCTTGGTACTTTTGTTGCAAATCATTTAATCTTATATGTTTGGGTTTATTTCTGGACTCTCTATTGTGCTCCATTGATCTATGTCTATCCTAATTCCAACACTGCATTCTTGATTACTATACCTTGCAAGCAAGTTGCAAAATCAAGTAGTGTGCCTCCGAAATTTATTCTTTTTTTCTTTTATTTTCTTTTTGGCTCTTCTAAGTTCTTTGCATTACCAACTAGTCCATTTCCATTAAAAAAGATATAAATATATTTGGAGAGAATTATCATCTTAATGATATTTAATATTCTAATTCAACATAACTCTGCTTATTTAGGTCTTTAACATTTCTCAACAATGCTTTGTGGTTTTTAGTACACAGGCCATTCCCTTTTGTTGTCAAATTTATTCCTAAGTAGTTTATTTTTGGTATACAATTATGAATGGGATTGTTTTCCTAATTTTACTTTCAGATTTTTCATTACTAATATATAGAAAAAAATTTTAAAAGTTTTATTTTTATGTCTCATGTAATTTTTGATTTTGGTATACTAATCTTGTATCCCACAACTTTGCTACTCATTTTCTCTAACATTTTTTTCTGTCTTTTTCTTAGGTAGATTCCTTAGGATCTTATAAGATATAAGAATACATTTACTGTTAATAAAGACAATATTATTTTCTCTTTTTTAATCCAACTGGCTTTAATTACTTTTTTTCTATTGGCTAGAAACTGCAGTACAATATTGAATAAACATGGAGAGAGATAATATCCATGACTTATCCCTGATCTTATTTGGAAAACAGTCATTCACCATTTGTATAATATGTGCTGTAGTCTTTTAGGTTTTAGATTTTTTTATTTTTTTCTACATCTGTTTCACGAGTTTTGGGAACTTCCTTCTGTTTCCAGTTTCTTGAGTTTGCTGAGTTTTTGTCATGAATAGATTTATGTCTTTATTTTCATCTATTGAGATTATTGAGATGATCATATGTTTTTATTCTTTGTTAATATGACATATGACAATAATTCATTTTCAGAACTGGCTTTGCATTCTTGATGTGAAGCCTACTTAATCATGTTGTATAATCCTTGTTAGAAGTTGCTGGTTTCAATTTTCTAATATTTTGTAAAGGACATTTATATTGATGTTTATGAGGCATATTGGACTGTAGTTTTCTTTTTCGTGATACCTTAGTCTAGCTTTGGGTATCAGGGTAATAATGACTTTATAAAATGAGCTGTGAAATCATTCTTCCTTCTCTGTTTATTGAAAATATTTTTATAGGTTTGCTACTATTTTTTCTTAAATGTTTGTTAGAATTTCCCAGTGAAGCCATCTGGGTCTGCACTTTTCTTTACAGAAAAAAATTTAAATATGAATTTAATTTATTTGCTTGGTATAGATTTATTTCATTTTTTTCTTGAGTCAGTTTTGTTATTTTTGTCCTTGAAATTTATCTATTTTATCTAACTCCTCAAATTGTTAGCATAAAGTTATTTAGAACATTCCCTTATAATACTTTTAACTTCTGTAGGGATTATTGTGAAGACGTCTCTTTCATTCCTGATTTTGGCAATTCATATTGTTGGTTGTTTTACTAAATCCTCATTTAGATTTTGTCTATGAAGTTCTCCTGTGGTGATAACAATGAAATCCTCATGTTTGTGTTTGCCAATAGCATCCGTTCATTGTTGAGATAATTCTGGTCCATTTTCATGCAGAAGATACTTTCCCATCAGGCCAATATCCAACTAAGGCCTATGTATAGTTAGTCTATTATTGTTCTGCTGGCTTCCCTTTTAATTTTTCAACTCTTAGTTATGCCTTACCCTGGGGTCCTAATTACACAGCATTTGTGATCTTCTTCTATCAAGCTACACGACATCTGCATGTCCATCTATAATAACTGTATCACTTTGAAACTCATCCAGTAATTATTTTACTATGTTATGACTCTTGGGCATGGGACCAAGCCACAAAATTGTTTTCTCCTTCATCTGTAGAACAAAATTTGGAGCAGCTGATCCAATACTATTTACTTAGACCTGATGTTAACAATTTATAGCCAGACATACCGAGATCCTCTATTGTACCCGTAACTCAGCTGTCTCTGGTTGAAAAGCAACAAATTACATTCTTCATATGAAAGGATAAGAATATCTAATATTACCTAAAGTCACTTATTACGCCAGGCCAAGAGGCCCCATGAAGACCAAGGTTAAACTGTTATCAGCCCTAAATGCAAGGTGTGTGTCTTGCACAGACCTTGGTGGTCAACTTAGAAGACCTCAACATTCTCAGAGACCTGTTAGTGTTTTCTGAGACCCATACTCACTAGCTCAAGAATAGGCTAGATATATAAAAGGACTATTAACCTTCATACAATGTGATTTTTCATGTGGATTGAAAATTCAACTAAAACTAGCTATTAAGCTCACAACCATAAAAACACAACCACATTGCACAAATACAGGCCAACGCAAACCTCCCACATGGCCTGCATTAATGCAGTGTCTGCACCACTTACAGCCTCTTGATCCAGGCTCTGCCAGATGCCTCCTTCTCATTATATTACTCCCCAAATGTCCATCTTATGATTTCCATTTTCAGTGCACTAAATCTTAACAACACTTTCTTGAATTTAAACCACTATTCGCACAACCTTCAGAACCACTTCCTTCCCCCTTCACTTTTTCAAGGAAGGAAATTATGCCAAAGGAGGCCTTACAGCCTGGAAGAACAAGGAGGAGGCATGATGTCCCTACAGGCAGGTGACCACATGCCCCCTCTACAAGAGAGAGAAAGGGGTTGGGAAATAATCATATTAATTTACTCTTCTCTCTCTGAGTAGGAACAATTGAACAGAGAAAGGCAGGGACTGCTTTGCTGATAAAACTCTACATGGAAGAAGATATTAGGATTGGGAAAAATGTATTCTTTCCTATACAACTCATGGTCACATTGTTGCTGACCTCACAATTCTTGTTTCCCACAAGTCAACAGAAAATTGGCTGGAGACCAAAACAGAAACTTAAATAGGCAGGGCTTTATTGGACCTTTTGCTTGAACAGAAGGAAGACAGTATCAGAAACCAGACAGTATTAAGAAACCAGACTGGCTCCCTGAACAAAAAGGCTGGGGAACTTTTAAGAGGGGAAGAGAGATAAAGTTTAGGGCCAACATTGAAATCACAGCATGTATAGGCACAGTTTTGCTAGCAGCTGCTCATCCAGTGTTCGTACTTCTTCATATATCGCATGTCTCATTAGCATGTTAAATCTCCACCTTTAGGTGTGACTTTTAGCATTAAAATAAGGGAAATGTCTATGGTAGTCAACTTTAGGCTTTGTCTTATCAGCAACCAGTTTGTGCTGGCTTTGGGGCCAGCAGATACCAGCTCTGATGGCAGCCATGTCCTGTTAATGAAAGCAGGACTACCCTCTGCAGAAGCTGGGTGTTACTCAGTTTCAAAGCTTTTGTTCAGTATTGTAAGCAGACGTAAGCTATGGCTCAAGGCACAGGCCGAAGTCCACCTCCTGTACTATCTCAACGAAAATTCTCACAAATAATTTTACTCATCACTTTTTGAAAAGTTGCCAACCTTCGATTCTGGGTAAATCCCACTATTGGCATTTTCTGTTCTGTTTTCAGTCTGGCAAAATCTGTGAGGCAAAAAGAACTCAAGAATATACTGATTCCTTAACTATATTTTTTATTTATGTTTTCGGTTTTTGTTGCTGTGATAATGTTGAATTCTCTGAAAGATGTCTACATTGTGATTATTGTTATTTGCTTGCTGTACTTCAACTGTATTCTTTTGTGTCTTGGTTGATTTCTTCAGTTGTACTCAGTATTGACATCACTCATCTCTCAGTGTTATTTTGATACAGGAGTCATATGAAACATGTTTCATCTTCCTTAGGTATCTAGGTATTTAAATGAGCTTCTCAGATGACTTTTATTTTTACGAGTCTTCACACTTGCCCGTTTTCTCCTCTCAGACAGGGGGTTATTCTCTTTGTAAAGTC